GTATTTACAATAGTATTTACAGTTGTATTTACTGTTGTATTTACTGTTGTATTTACAGTTGTATTTACAATAGTATTTACTGTTGTATTTACTGTTGTATTTACAGTTGTATTTACTGTTGTATTTACTGTTGTATTTACTGTTGTATTTACAGTTGTATTTACTGTTGTATTTACAGTTGTATTTACAATTGTATTTACTGTTGTATTTACTGTATTTATGTATTACAATAGTATTTACAGTTGTATTTACTGTTGTATTTACAATAGTATTTACAGTTGTATTTACTGTTGTATTTACAATAGTATTTACAGTTGTATTTACTGTTGTATTTACAGTTGTATTTACAGTTGTATTTACAATTGTATTTACTGTTGTATTTACAATAGTATTTACAGTTGTATTTACTGTTGTATTTACAATAGTATTTACAGTTGTATTTACAGTTGTATTTACTGTTGTATTTACAGTTGTATTTACAATAGTATTTACTGTTGTATTTACAGTTGTATTTACAATAGTATTTACAGTTGTATTTACAGTTGTATTTACAATAGTATTTACTGTTGTATTTACAGTTGTATTTACAGTTGTATTTACAATAGTATTTACAGTTGTATTTACAATAGTATTTACAGTTGTATTTACAGTTGTATTTACAATAGTATTTACTGTTGTATTTACAGTTGTATTTACAGTTGTATTTACAATAGTATTTACAGTTGTATTTACAATAGTATTTACAGTTGTATTTACAGTTGTATTTACTGTTGTATTTACTGTTGTATTTGTTGTGTTGTTTCTAAACGACATTCTTTAGTTTTGCTCAAATTTTGAGATAATTTGTTTAAATCCAACTCAGTTTTTCAGACTCAGTTTGAGAAAGAAACAGATTCAGTCTCAGAGTCGCCTGAAAATATGACTGTGGCTGTTTAAATCATTATTCAGAGACAAAATAAAACATGTGGGGCCCCGGGGCCCGTCACATACAATATCTATATTTATCTATATTTATACCTATGATTTCTTCTCTATATTTATTTATCTGTGTTTTCTTCTCTGTGTTTCTCAAGACGAGTGATTTCCTGAGTTCAGAAAAGTGCAGGAGATTTTATTTTTAAAGAGACGGGGTCGGGGTCAGAGACGGGGTCAGGGTCTTTGCGCTGGAAAACAGATTTGTGTTTTAAGAAAAATGAAAAGGTCCTCAGATCAAAACCAAGACCCAGACCAAGACCCAGACTCAGACTCGGACCTGGACTCAGGTGCGGCGCTGGGACTCAGACTCTTTTGTGTTTGTTCAGATTATTTCAGAGTTTTTTCACTGATTCTTTTTGTCTGAGAGGAACAGGTTACATTTTAATGTCTTTTATTAAAATTAATTTAATATATATATTTTTAGATTTTATGAAACATATTTTTATTTAATTAGATTTTTAAAAAAATGATTAAATAATTGTTCTGAATGAATTTGTTTTTTATTGGAACATCATTCATTTGATCTGTTTTTATGTAAATGATTTTCTTGACTGTGTGTTTGTGTGTGTTTGTGTGTGTGTGTGTTTGTGTGTGTTATTGTGTGTGTTTGTGTGTTTGTGTGTGTGTGTGTTTGTGTTTCTTTCTTCTCTTGATTTCTTCTCTTTTTCTTTTCAGGTCTTGATCTTCGTTCGTTTTCTTCTTCAGATTCAGAGGGACTGTTTTTCTGAGCGGAGGGATCCTGAGCCGAGAGCCGTGATGTGGCTCCTGCTGCTGCTCCTGTGTGTTCCTGCGCCGACACTCGCTCAAGGTACGAGGGGTCAGAGGTCAGAGGTCGGTTAGGGGTCAGAGTGTCACTTAAAAACTAAATACTCCAAGTACTTTTGAGTTTTCTGTCATGTTCCTTAAGTTTAACTCTGTGTCTGTGTGTGTTGTTGTGTGTTGTTGTGTGTGTCTGTGTGTGTGTGTTGGTGTGTGTGTCTGTGTGTGTGTGTCGGTGTGTGTTTGTGTGTGTGTGTTGTTGTGTGTGTTTGTGTGTGTGTGTTGTTATGTGTGTTTGTGTGTGTGTGTTGTGTGTGTGTGTGTGTGTGTGTGTGTGTTGTGTGTGTGTGTGTGTGTGTTGTTGTGTGTGTTTGTGTGTGTGTGTTGTTGTGTGTGTGTGTGTGTTGTTGTGTGTGTTTGTGTGTGTCTGTGTGTGTGTTGTTGTGTGTGTGTGTTTGTGTGTGTGTGTCGGTGTGTGTTTGTGTGTTATTGTGTGTGTCTGTGTGTGTGTGTGTGTGTGTGTGTGTGTGTTTGCAGGTAAAGAGCCCAGACTGATCCTGAGCAACGGCTCCAACCCCTGTGAGGGCTTCATACAGGTACTTCACCTGCCCCTACACCTGCCCTACACCTGCCCCTACACCTGCACCTGCCCCTACACCTGCACACCTGCACCTGCCCCTACACCTGCACCTGCCCCTACACCTGCCACCTGTGTTTATGTTTCTTCTGTCGCAGAACTTTGAGTTAAATGCTCCTGAAGCACAAA